GCCATCCCTCCCAGCTGAACTGGAGGCCACCTCCTGCTGAGGACGTGCAGGGGAGGCAGCCCCGGCTCCGGGGCTTCGGTGTCAGGGACTGTGGCAGTGGCCACCACATCCCAAAGCAGTGGTGTCAGGAAGGTGAGTGCAAGGACACGTGTGCGAGGACAACGGCCTCACCAGCTGTCTTTCTGTTGTTCAAAACCCAGCCACCAGCCCGTTCATGCATGCAGCTCAACACATTATCTGCTGCAGGCTTGAGCGACGGGGGAGTGCACGCTCCTCTTAAAACGTGGAGGCCAGAGGAAGGGTAACTGAAGGTGGTGGTGTTTCATCTACAGAACGGATACCTAGACCTTCACTGTGCACCTGTATGTCCCACTCTCCGTCACAGCTAAACTGGCCCTCAGCCATGTGGCTGAAGCCGTGCTGAAAGGACCAAAAAGTCTCCACTCCTGAGAGTCAGAACAGAGACCCATCATGAACACACATCACATTCATTCTAGCATTTAAGGTCTTTTTTTGTCCAGCACACCCTCTAAGCAGAGCCACCACCCCATCTGATGCACAGCTGAAGTGGCAGCCATCTGTCCCAGTGTCGGAAGTCGGGGTGAGAGGTGGGTCCAGCAATGTTAATGGCTAAGTGGCCAGGGGCAGGGTTTGCCTCCATGCCACCTTCTGCAGTCAACCCCAGCTCAGGCCAGGCGTGTCTGAAACCACAAATGAATAAACGTGACCAGGTCTGTTGTCATAATTCCTCCAGTAACTAGTGCTGAAGGACCCCAGCACCGCGCCTCTTGTCCCGTTAAGACAACAGTCAGCAGAGCAGGGAGGCAGTGCTGGGACTTGTGAGGCAGATGCCTAACACAAGTCTCCGGGCAATAGGCTCAACTGCGTACATTCTTCACCGACATGCAGCTCTTTCATCAACACACCGCTCGTTACAGGAGCCCAGGGAGAGGCAAGCCCCTGGGGGGTTCAGGCTTACCTTGTTTGCACACTGCTTACACTGCTTCTCATCCAGGCAATCCCCTGCCACCTTGGCCAGGGCCGGGTCCAGGGGGTTATCCTTCAGGTCCAGCCACTTCAGGCTCTAGAGAGACGGCACAGAGGCTGGCAAGGTTGGAACTAAACGAGGGAGAACGCCTGGTCCCAGCTGCAGACTGGCCATGTGGGGCCCAGCCAAAAGGTGTAATTTCTGCAGCCTTTCTCCCGGCCACGCCCATCAGCCCAAGCTCTCTGCCACACCTGGTGCTCCACCTGGCCATGAACCATTGGTTCCCGGATCATTACCTTGAGCTGAGCAAAGCTGACAGGCAGGGTGACCAGCCTGTTGTTGAGCAGGTCCAGGTGCTGGAGGTTGACCAGCCGGCCGAAGTCCACGGGCAGCTGCTGCAGCTTGTTTTTACTGAGATCCAGCTTCACTAGGTGTGTGAGGCCACAGAACTCCGACTAGGATGCAGAGAGAGAACACCTAAGCCTCAGGCCGCAGACTTGGGTGGAACAGTCTAGAAGCCTCCGTGGCAGAGGCACCTGTGTGCATGTATGTCCTCACTCTGCCTCTTTCCAGACCAGTGAGTCCACTTTGAACAAATGGCTTCACATAGCAAGCGACCACGGCTGGCGGCGGGCCTCAGGGGGGCACTCCATGGGCAAGGGCCTCTCACCCACCTCTACACACCTACTGGAGGCAGCAGGCATCCACTCTGACCTCCCACAACACCCCAGCTTCACCTTTCAAAGGAGTCAAGACAAAAGGTGAGGGTCCATGTACCTAGGGACCAGGTGGTACCCAGTTGGCCTCTGTTAAGTCACAGCACCAGCACAGGTGCCCAGTGAATGTCTGACTGGGTGGATGGTAGATGGATACACAAAGCCTCCCACCCATCTCCTGACTCTTCTCTGACATGGACCAAACCCCTCCTCCAACCTCTAAACCTTTGCTAAGTTCCCATGTGCAAGTGCCGGCCCAGCCTCCGATAATGAGGTCCTGCTCATGCTCTTGGGGGCCTACAAACGTCAGCACATCTGCACTGCCGACTGAGACGGGAGGCACAGACAACGGACAAATGCAGAGTGAGAGGTGCAAGTGGGGGTGAAGGGCCACCTGCCAGGTGAATGGCAGGCAGGAGGCTGGAAACCACTGCCCTCTTTAACTAGATACAAAACACTCCCTGGAAGAAGGGGGACCTCAGATATTCCAAGACTGTTAGGAACAGCGCTGATGAGCTGTGGGAGGTGCCATCCATGGGCGGGAGGCCCAGGAGAATGCTGAAAAGGGAAGGGCTAATGAGCCCAGAAAGCAGCTACTAGCTTCTGAGGCTGTCCCTGTGGTAGAGCTGGGCAGGAAGCTCCCTGAGAGCGCACTTGGGAAACAAGGTGGCCAGAGTTGCAGGGGAACGGCCACAAGACCAGCCCAGCTGTGGAGGGAGGGGCTGCCAGCCAGGAGAGGGGGAGGGCTGAATGAGTGCTGTGCCTACTCCAAACTCAAGTTCACTGCCACTGAGTCGATTCCAACTCACAGGGCAGAATTGCCCCTGTGGGTTTCAGAGACTGTAACTCTTGACGGGAGTAGAAAGCCTTGTCTTTCACCCAGGGAGTAGCTGGTGGTTTCAAACTGCTGACCTTGTGGTTGGCTAGCAGCCCAACTCGTAACCCACTGTGCCACCCCCAGGGCTCCTACACAGGCACAGCAACAGGCGAGCTGCGAGCTGCTGTACAAGGAAAGCTGAGAGTGTCCAGAGACTGAATGTGCTGAGCACAGAAGCAGCAATCCTCAAAAGTCATTCAAGTCCTGGCTTGGGAGGATCATGACCGGGTAGTCTCATAACCACCTCCCCAAGGCCCTCTCATTTCCCGATCCTCTTCCAAAGAGGCACAAAGAGCCTGTTGGGAAATAGCTTTCTCCCTGGGATGCAAAGCATGGGACCAAGTGGTGTCTAGCCCTTTCTGTGCAAAGGAATAAAATGAGGCAGAAAAGGGATGGCTCCAGTTGTGACTGGAGCAGCCAGCGTCCCGCTGACCAGAGTTCCCTGTGGCCCCCACCCCCCACTGAGACCCACCCGGCCTCCACCCCTCATCTCCCTTTGGATTTAGCTTCAACCTCTCCCGGACTGCCGACCCCAACTAGGTAAAAGCATCACCGGGGCTGCAGCAGGGGCCCCAGCTGATGGCCCATCTTACCGGGAGAACAGTGAGCTTGTTGCAGGACAGATCCAGAACAGTGGCCTTGGGGAGCGCAGCCTAGGAAAGGTGATGAGAAAAAACAAGAGGTCAAACTAACCCGGAATGATTCAGCAACATCTGCCAAGGAGTACACTCCTGAGAAGGTCCCCAATATTGACAGGCTTTTGATTTTTCAAAGGTCCTAATGTACTGTCATCGTTCCTGGGGGGCGGGAGAAGGGGGGCAGGGGGCCGTCAACAGTGACGTTCGTAGGCGGCAGAGCGCAGAGACACCTCGGAAAGGAGATGGCCCCAGAACCCTCCTGTGGCACTCGGAACACTTTCCCCAGCAGCCCTCGTGGTTGACGTTAGCCTGCATGGGTGGGCAACCTCCTTACTCGGCTTCAAGGCAGGGGCCACAGCCATTGCAGCCTCGAGGCTCCCACACCCCCTAGTTCTGGGCCCTCCTCGGGGCGGGCACTCCACATGTGTGCTGGCTGAACCAAGAGGCCAGACAGAGCGGAGGCCTTCTGCCTCCTCCCTTTCCCCAGGACGGGCAGGACCAGCTGGGGCAGCTCAACAAAACCGGGCCCTCTCCGTAGAGGCACTGCTTCACTGCCCAACGCAAACTGTCAAAGGCCAGGCTGACGCGAGGCTGGCCCCCTTCCTGGGGTGGAAAGTGGGGCAAGTTTTTCAGTGAAGGACCCTGGGGCCAATCAGCACTTTTCCAAGGGTCAGAAGGCAAAAGAACAAGGTTTGACCATTTAAGAGGAAAAAAATTAAAAGGCACAACGTGTTGCCTTGGGGAAGGCACCCTGAGGTCGGCTCTGGGCAAGCCATCCTCTTCGATCCTTGCTGCGGGACCCTACGAGATGGGAAACACTGTCTCCGATGTCCCAGAGAGGATGACGCCCAGGCATAAAGGTCGGAGCCTGCCAAGGGCACTCAGCCATCAAGCAACACCCCTGGGGTTTGCATCTGGGAATCCCTTTCTCGCTAACCCAGAGCACCGCCCCGGTGGAGGGGAGGCTGAGCCAAGTGCACAAGACAAATGTCGCAAGAGCGGCAAGCAAAGTGTGGGTCACAGGCGAGGCTGGGGGGCCCGGGCTCCGGCGGCACGTGGGCATCTCACCAGATGTATACTCCCCTCAAGGGCTTGGGGTCTCAGCTTCCCAGGGGTGGGGTGAGAAGGGGTGAAGAGGTGCGAGGCGGCGGCGCGCGCGGGATTCCCGCCAGTTTCAGCAGTTTGGATGAGACCGTGCCAACCAGCAGCGGGGTTTGTATTCTTCCAGGGCGGCCGGCAGGGCTTGCGGAGACTTCCTAGAAAAGGCCAGTCCCGGGCCACACCCAAGTCTACCCGGGGCCTGCGTGCTGGGCCGAGTCATTCATTCGTTTGAGAAGTCCGGCCACCGCTCCGGCAGCGCCTACTTCGGGCCAGCCACGGAACTGAGCGCTGGGGGTGGGGCGGGGCGCGGAGGGGAGGGGAGAGTTGGGAGGTCCCCAAATGGGAGTGCATTCGCGCCTGGTGCGGGCGGACGGAGTGACACGTGTACATCCCGGGTAGAACCTCGGGTGCGGGCGCGGCCTCCCGGGGGCTCAGGCCCCCGCTCCTGGCTTTAAAGACGGGGAGAGGGGGAGGACTAAGGCAGGGGAAGGGACCGGCCACCGTGGGCCAGCGCGGGCGCGGGGCGGGCGCCCGGAACTCGCGGCGCTGGACTCACCAGCTCCTTGACGGGGACCTCGCTGAGGTTGCCGAGGCTCAGGTCTAGCTCGTTGCCGTCCAGCTTGTCGCGGAGACTCCCGCCCTTGTTACCGGCCTTGGTCATTGTGACGCCGGCGGAGCGAGCCCCGGCTCAGAGGCTCGGCGCTGCAAGAGGGAGAGGCTGAGACGCCGATCGGCTGCTGCGTGGACTCACTCCCAACCGGCAACGCCTGCGACCGGCGCCGGTGCGAGACCGCTGCCGCCCGTCCACCCGCCGGCCTCACAGCGAGTCCCGCGCCCTGCTCCCACCGCTGCAGCCGCGACGACTACCACTTCCGTGTCCACGTCACCTTCCGCGACCAACGAGACGAGCTGGGCCAGAGCGGCCCGAGCAGCTCGGTGGCGCCCTCTGGCGCTCGGGTCCGCGCACTGCAGGTCTCGGCCGCCGCCCGCCCGCCCGCGCGCGTGCTCGGCTCCCTCCCTGGCCGGCCTGCAAAGCCCGCCGCAGGTCTGTCTGCATCGTCCTTGGGAGAGCGAGGCAGTGCAAGGACGTGGTACTAGACGCCCAAGGATATGGGTGCGCAACCTAAACTGACCTCCTCAGGTTACCCCCACGTCCTACCTGGGCGTCTTCTAAAATTGCACCCCCTCCTCTTCTTACCATGCCCATAGCGGACTAGTAGGTTCCCGACTTGCACGGTCCCTGGGTGTAAGCAGAAGTACCCCACAGAGCTTTCGAGGCAAAGAGCACTTAACCACTGCGCCATCAGGGCTCCTTCCTTACATCCATCGCGACCCTCTGTGGAATTTTGGAGGCTTCTCAATCTTTCCGGGAGCAGGCAGCCTCATCCTTGTCCCGCTGGATTTGAACCGCCAGCCTTGTAATTAGCAGGCCAATGCTTACCCGACAGACAGCACTGACAGGGCAGGGCACCGTCTTCTGACTAAATATGCCGCTGCCCCCTCTCCAGTCACCATCATCTAGAAAATGTCCGTCTGTGAATTTCTCTTCTCTCTTGCCCCACTGGCCCAGCCATTGTGCAGACAGACCTCCCACGGTTGACTCCAACCTAGGTTACTCTAAACCAGCGGTTCTCAACCTGTGGGGCGTGACCCTTTTGGGGAGTCGAACAACCCTTTCACAGGGGTCGCCCGACTCATCACAGTAGCAAAATGACAGTGATGAAGCAGCAACGAAAATAATGTTATGGTTGGGGGTCCCCACCACATGAGGAACTGTATGAAAGGGTCGTGGCATGAGGAAGGTTGAGAACCGCTGCTGTAAACAGTAATGACCCCCCCCCCCCAGCTGCCAGGATGATCTAAATATCTGACCAGGTCACTGCTCTACTTAGTCTCCAGCTCCAAAATTAAAAGGTAAAGAAGGGGGTAGGGCAGAACTGCACAGCCCCTACGGAAAGCAGCATGGCGCTTCCTTAAATGGGAATAGAGAAACCATATGATCCAGCGGTCTCGCTTCTCTGTCTAGATCCCCAAGAATTAAAACAAAACTCGAACAGATACATGGACACCATGGCTATCACGGTGCTATCCACAATAGCATGACGTTGGACATTGAATACTACAATACATCCCTAAAAAAGTATGGAAGTGTCAAATACCTCATAACAGGGATGAATTTGGAAGACATTATGCTCAGCAAAGTTCGTGCATCTCATAGCGGCAGACTGTATGAAACTACCATGGCAACCCGAACATCAAGAGAAATGGTTTCCACTCCAGCGGCAGCCCACTTGGAAGATCATGAGGAGGCAATGGGGGTGGGGGGGTGGGGGTGGCAGTGGGGTTTCTAGTTCCCTGGAGGACAGTGGTTCTCAACCTTCCTCATGCCATGACCCTTTCATACAGTTCCTCATGTGGTGGTGACCCCAACCATAGCATTATTTTCATTGCTCCTTCCTCACCGTCATTTTGCTGCTGTTATGAATTGTCATGTAACTGCCTGAGGGGCAGGATGCATTTTCATTGTTACAAATTGAGCATAAAGCATAGTGATTCATTACAAAGACAATGTCATTATATATTGAAAAATATTTATTTTTTAATGACAAATAAATGAAATTGTGTCTTGAAGCAGGGTGTAGCATGAGTAACAGTCTTCACGCTGGGTACTCGTAGGTGGGCGTAACTGCATGTGCGCGGACCCACCTGGAGACAGCTAGAGGAGCGGTGTCTCCGTTCCTAAGACCATCGGAAATACGTGTTTTCTGATGGTCTTAGGCGACCCCTGTGAAAGTATCATTCGATGCCCCCAAAGGGGTCGCGCCCCAGAGGCTGAGAACCACTGCTCTAGGATATGAACCACTCTCCTCCCTCGGCAGGGTCAGGCTTGCTTCTGCAGCCTCCCCACAGGCCCGTGCTCTGACAGGTCTCCCTTCTCTGTCCACAGACTCATGCCCACACCGTCCCCCTCCTGGGAGGCCCTGGCTTCCTCACACAGCTCCTCTGCCTGCCTAATTCTAGCCCTTGGGGAACCCTCCTCAGACCACTGGGGAAACTGAACCGTGGCTGAGTCAGATGACTTACGTCCGGGCCCTTTGTGGCCAATGACCATAGCGCCTTGTGCTGTAGTTCAATGACTGGGCATTAGTCCTGGCTCAGCCAGTTGCTAGTTATGAAACTTTCAGCAAAGTCACCACCGTGCCTCCGTTTCCTCATCTGTGGCTGTAGGAGACATTGGGTGAGAGCGATAGCTAGCTTTAAGGGATTGAGGAGGATTGAGGAGAAGCGGAAAACCTACTGCAGTAATTAGCACTTAGTAAGTCCCCGGGAAATCCCAGCTGTCTCTCGCAGTGCACCTTGTGCTTACTGCTGGGTCTGCCCTCTGCTCTGAACTGTCCACTTCTTGAGGACAAAAACCTTGTCTTCATCGTCTCTGTTTCCCCAGACCGAAGTGTCTGTGTCAAAGCGGCAGCTTCAGAAATGATTGTCGAATGAATAAGACACTGCCCGTTCCAAACCTCAGTCTGCTCATCTTTAAAATGGGATGTTGAAGCTCATTAGGGGCACTGAGGCAGACAAAAAGAAGGCAGTGAATCTTCATTTGTGATGCCACCCCACCCCCATGCCCACCCCTGCAGCAAATCCACCCATTGTGCCTCTTGGGAAATAGAAAAAGGCAGTTGGACAATACACCCTCTCCTCAATTATCGACATGGTGAGGGTCCAAAGACCAGGTCCTTCTGGGAAGACGGAGGATGGTCACACGAGATCACACAAGGGAGGATGACTAAAGCTATCGCCACATAACTGCCAAATTACGTCATTACACAACTGCCAAACCACTGAGAGTCACGGCCCAGGCAATTTGACACATAACCTTAACCGTCATCTCTAGGGTTACTCTCACCCAGCCCCTGAGGATTAGTCAAATGTACGTGAGCGCACAACATGCTCGGTAGATTTTTTTTTAAATTAGGCTCATCAATGCACAAGGCCTGATCATGAGAGAGTCGATAAGTGAGAGGTAGCTGTGATACATTGGCACTTGGCAACCTCTACAGGCCTTGACCTCATTTTGTTCATGTGCACACAGAAATGATGGGGCCCAGTTCCTCCTCATCCCCCTTTCAGGAAGGAACAAACTGGATAAATGAAATTCAGGCCGAAGTAGCAGTTTGTGGTCCGTCACACAGCTGCTGGGGGTCCAGGTAGAGTTTTGTTATTCCAAATCCTGTTTCTTTACAATGAACTCTATTTCCCTGGAGCCCGAGGCAGTTCATACGCCCAGGACTGTCCGCGCCAAAGACTGATGAAGCACTCACTCGGCTATGCCAGGAAATTTGGATGACAGCTACCTGGTCAACTGACAGGAAGACTTCAATGTCTGTACCCGTTCCAAAGAAAGGGGGCCC